ACAGAAGAGGGGGTGGGGCTAGCTTGCTAGCATTAGCAGCTAGCATTAGCATTAATTTTCTTTTCTCTTTTTAATGGTGAAAAAAACATGGACAAACAACAGAGGGGGTGGGTCTAGCTTGCTAGCATTAGCAGCTAGCATTAGCAGCTAGCATTAGCAGCTAGCATTAGCAGCTAGCATTAGCATGTTTTTTTTTTTAAATCTTTATTGGTGAAAAAATATGGACAGAACAGAAGAGGGGGTGGGGCTAGCTTGCTAGCATTAGCAGCTAGCATTAGCATTAATTTTCTTTTCTCTTTTTAATGGTGATAGCTTGCTAGCATTAGCAGCTAGCATTAGCAGCAGCATTTTAGCTTAATTTTTTTTCTCTTTTTAATGGTGAAAAAAACATGGACAAACAACAGTAGGGGCTACCTTGCTAGCATTAGCACTATTTTTTTCCCTCTTTTTAATAGAGAAAAAAACATGGACAAACAACAGCAGGGGTAGGGCTAGATTCCTAGCATTAGCTGAATTGAATTGAGGACTCAGTGGTAAGAGTTTGTCATAAAGTTGTGTTGGTGTGTTGTAATCTGTTCTGTGATTCATCTATTAATGAAAGCTGAAAATCCTAAAACTGTCTGTTTATCTGTGTGTCCAGGTGCTGGCCAGACTCTCCCTTCAGCAAAGGATCTGTCCTTGGTACAGGTGGGACAAGGACAGCCCTTTGACTTCAATGTCCTGGAGGAGCAGCCTGGGCCCTCCAGCAGGGGTCTGCCTCCTCCTCCTCCTCCTCCTCCAGACGATGAACAGCATGGCCCCTCATCCAGTGCTGTTGGTCCTCCCCTCGCTCCAGCACCACTCCCCTCCTCAGTTCATCCAGGACCAGAGCCTACAGAAAGAGGAAGGCGGCCCGAAGCTGCTGTGGCAGAGCGGGGGCCGCTGCCTGGAGGAAAAACCCTCCGTCTGCCGACATCATACATCTACAGCAAGTGTGTCCAACCCAGAAGGATTGACACTGACTTCACTCACATTGCAGGTGTGTCACACTGTGACTGTTGGTGGAAAGACTGTGGAGGAGTGGAGGGAAGAGATGAAGAGAAGACAGGACAACGTTTTCTATCTTCATTTATAACTTTTAATTGACATTATTTATAATTATTTGATTTGTTGCAGTTGGAGTGGTGTTTGTGTCAGCTGATGTCTCATGATGATCTCAGTCAGTGTTCCCTCTCTTTTAGCTCTGTGTTTGGTCCCCACCAGCTCCTGAGGGAAATCTGTCTCTTTAGCTGCTAAATGCTCCACTATGTTCAGCAGCTGCTCTCGGACCGTGTCTGTCTGCTGTTTGCTGCTGAGGAGGTCGTGGACAGTGGCTACGGCTGAAGAAGTTTATATATTCAAAGATGACAAAGACGGTAACTGAATCATTATTTTACTGGAAAGTTCTTTTTTCTTTTAATGATATTCTTAAATTGCATTCAGGATGGTGCAGTGTAAAGACTGGACACTGACTGTTTCCCTGGTAAAAATGTTGTAAATAGTTCCCACTGGACACAATGCTGTTACTGTATGTGAGGATTCATTTGTAATGTGTGCTTTCTTTTATTCTTGCAGCTCACATCATGTGCTGTGGTGCAGTGGATGTATGGACATCGGCTGAGAAAACAATATATCGGTACGTGATCGGGAATTTCTTAGCGATTTGAGTAACCACGGCGACGTAAATGCCATAGATAGAAACACACAAACACCATCTCCACGATTTGGATTACCTTATTGGCTCTGTTGTACAAAACCTTATGCAATTTATACTGCCAAACACAGAAGCACTGACACTTTCAAAATAAGAGTCTCAAAAAGATCAGAGGTCATAGGTCATAAAAGTTTGATCCTAGAAGGGATCCTCTATATGGGGATATAGTGGTATAGCTTTATTGCAGATCAACTTCTGTTGCTGCGTGTGTGTGTGTGTGTGTGTGTGTGTGTGTGTGTGTGTGTGTGCGTGCGTGCGTGCGTGCGCGTGTGCGCGTGTGCATGTCTTGCTGTGGTTGTGGGGACACATTTGTGTTTAAACCATCAGTGTGAGGTTATTGTGTTCAGTCAACACAGCTTCTAAAGGCTTTCTGAGGGACAGCTGCAGTGACTGAGGTCAGTGTCAGGATGAGTCTCTACGACATGAATGAAACTGAAAGTAACGTCCTTTGTGCAGATTGAAACGAGGAGTGAAGTTCAGGCACCAAGCAGCAGCAACATTCAAAAGTTCTCCAGGAGTTTTCTAGTTGTTTATTATGCTCTGTCCTCAGTGTTCACAGATTCTCTTTCTTGCCTTTTACTTCATTTCTACTGTTGTTGATAGATGACAGTAACAACATGTGAAGAGCAGAATGTGTTCAGCTCTAGCACAGTCACCACCTTCACAGGTGAAAGTATCGACCAGTTTAACATCAAACGGTGTTCAGTAGGAAACAGATGGAACTGACCCACCAGAACTGCAACCTGGAGCAAAACCATAAAAAACTTTTTCACATTAAAACTGCATTAATTTCAACAATTTACAATCAACTAACTGACAAATTAAAACTAGAATACAGTTGTGAATGAAGGTGCAGGTGAACTTCACTGTCACAAGACAAGTCTGCATAATAAAGAGGTGGATAAATCTTATTTAGTAACAAGTATAAATTATAGTAAAGATGTAAAATAATACTTCATAGCTCAGTGAGGACAGAGCAACAGTCTGACAGCTTGACTGGAAGCTGTTGCAGCCGTCCAGAAGTGATGGAGGGAAGGTGCAAAAAGTCCAGGAGCCATTATTCATCATCAGTCTCAGTGTTAGAAAACGTTGTGACAGCTAACCGTGTTAGCAGCATCTTCGCACGGCTCAGCCAGGAGCCTGTTGCTGTCAGGTTGAATATTTGTTTTATATTAAAATTCGCCATTGTTTTACTAAGTTAACTTTTTTTTTTTTTTTTTTTAACGTGTAATGCTGAAAAACTGAAGCCAGGTTTTTTTGAAATTCTCCAAATCTCTTGTGAAAACAAACCTTGACTGATGTGGGTGAATTGTTTTGGTGTTTGAAATTGGTTTACCAGAGTCTTAGGTTCATAGAAATAGCACAACATGTGATTGAAATATTAGATACGTTTTTAATAAAAGCCTAAAATGCAAAGTGTTGTCTGTCCCTCTACTTTAACCACATTTCTGAGGCCTGTTAGACGCCGTCTAGCTCCGCCTATGAGTCACGTACATATGAAATGGAAGGTGGAGAGTCTACAGAGGCCAACAACATTTAAATCATGTTTCTACCAGGAAATGTTCAGTTGGGATTTAGTTCTTAAAAATCTGCCATTAACATTATTACACGTCTTTTTCTGTTTTGTCTTTTTTTTCATTTTGAATAAACAGAAGAAACTTTTCGGCTACAGAAACAAACCCTCCCACCCACAACAACACAACGTCCTGGTTAAAAAGAGACGAAGGTTCTGTGAAGGATCGTCTCTGCCACTAGATGTCGCACTACACCAGCAGCATCTCGGACCAAAACAAACGCAGCATCAGCCACAGCAGCTCGGTTGTTCCTGGCATCACCTCTGATGATCCGCTCCACTCTGCTTCTCTGTAAGCTGACCCGTGGTTTAGTGACACTGATGATCTGTGCAGCGTTCACAAACACACGGAGCCTCTGTTGTTATACTGCTGCCTGTGTTTCCTCCTCCTGCTCAGCCCTTTCCTTTGACCTCGTCCTCCTGCTTCCTCCCATTCTTTCACTCTCCTTGTGGAAAATGAAAAGGAAAGTTGCGAGAAGACGACGAGGTTGTTCATTGTTCTGTAAAACACATTAAATATGGGAAAAAGTGGAACCAGCGACTGAGCGGCTCAGGGTGAAGCTCCGTCCTTCAGCTGCAGACTTGGTGAGTGTCTTTGCTTGATTTCATCACCATGAACACACACACTGTAGTTTATTTAGATTCAGTCCCACACACACACACACACACACACACCGTCCTGCTGCCACAGATGCTCACTAGAGCAACAAATGTGGACTAATCCGCCGCTGAAAATAGTCCCCAACAAATGCACTATTTCCTCCTGCTTGTTGGATAAAAGCTTCAGCTACTGACCCTTAGTAAAAGAAAGAGAAACTATACATTTGTGAACTGGAGAAAACCTTTACATATCAGGACTGTTGTTTTGCATTTGATGCAAAACAACAGACGCCACTGAACCGAATCTCTCCTGAACTACTACCAGGTACATAATATATAGTTGTTTCTTTAGGTCTTTATGTCTGCTGCAGAGCAGTGCCAGTTCTCACAAGTATCTTTCAATGTAAAATTAAAATAATAATCTTCTTCTTTATCAAACTTTCCTCTGAACAAGGTTACAAGGTGCAGCACAAGTCAAAGCTGTAATATATAAGAAACAACCAGGTAAATGTTTAAGTAAAACATCATGTGACACAAACACCATAATGTCACATGTTGTTTTATCCAGTTTCTATAGACTTTTATCTGCTTCAATCGTTTCACTTTGTATTTCATTGGTCTCAGTTTGTTTCTCTGTTGAACTTCACTCTGAAAGATGCTCCACAGATGAAGTTTGACTTGATGGCAGAACTGCATCAGTTGTAGACGTCATAATTTGAACATGAGCTGTAGGAGTTCAGTCACTGCGAGTGGTTGTGTGAACTCTGCACTTTATTATGGATTGTCTGTTTGCTTTTACACACCCACTGATGGGAATTTTTGCCCTTCATTCAAAATACGAGCTGGCGAAACGTGTAATTTTTGGGATGAATAAAAGGCGTTGGTGTTAAAATATGTTTCTGTGCTGCGAGAGAAGTTCATCGACCTGAGGAGGATTTCATTTTGGGGGGGTTTTACAGTTAGTTACAGCCACACAATGAGCTCTGTTGTTATTGACCTGAGAGAGAAAGGCATGCAGGGGCAGCTGATTACCAGAGCACAGTGTGTGTGTGTGTGTGTGTGTGTGTGTGTGTGTGTGTGTGTGTTGCAGTGTAAAGAGCCAGGTTGAAGCTCTACGTCAGTGTTGACTCAGTTGACAGGAGACGTCGGAGGTGGACAAACTGGACCTGCAGCTCTCTCCTCTGCTGCTTGTCTCCTTCAGATCAACATGGCTGAAACACACAGGGTGCCGGCGCAGGGCAGGAAGGTGAGTTCACAGCTGATCAACAGGCAGCAGGTCAGAGAGCAAAAACCCGAACACACCGACAGGAAACACTTCAGTCTGACAAACTGTCTCTAAGCTGCACTGCTGTGATTTTAGTTTTATTTCTAAGGCGACTGTTTCAGTTTTCTGGGTTTTGAAAGAATGTCAACCTGCTAGGCAAAAAAATGTCAAGCTGTTTAGAATGAAACAACGCAACTTCCTGTCAGAATTATCAAAATAAAAGCTGCATAAATTAATATCTTAGGTATATGACAGCAAAAACAAAAACAGTTATTGAAACTTATGTAAAAATGACAAGAACATGCTGTGTGTGTGTGTGTATGTGTGTGTGTGTGTGTGTGTGTGTGTGTGTGTTGTTTTATATTTGACGTAATAATATATCCCTGTGTTTTGTGATTGTAGGTAGATTGGTGTATGGGGATATAATAATGATATAATAATGATATATAAAACAACAAAAATATAATATATTATTTTATGCTACTTTATAATAGTGCAGTGATATTATCACATATTTTATATGATATAATCATTTTAAATATGATAATGTAATGGAAAGGAAACTATTTTAACTTGATGTTTCAAGATCAAACATCTGAGTACAGGAAAGATAAAGTGAAGTTGTGATGTAAAATAGCAGATTTAAATCATTTAAATGCATTCATATGGATGTCATATATATATATATATATATATATATATATATGCATAAGTACATTTTACAACATCCTAGGCTTAGTTATAATTATCAATTAAGAAATACATAAAACATAAAAGTGTGTTATTGTAAAACAGTCTCACCTAAAATCAGTAAAACCTCATCAGTATCAGTTTGTCAAGTTTCAGTCTCTGTGAATTCTGTGGCTTCATCTGTGAACCTCATATCACCTGCTTTTATTTTGAAGGTCAGGCTGATCTTAGACCTGACGTAGCACGTGTTGGTCACACGGTGTGTGAACGTGCTGCTCTGACCTCAGTCGGTCAGTTGTTATAAATGAGAACCAGGAAGTGTGACTGAAATACACAGCTTTTATTTTTTTACATTAAATAATGTCTTTATTTTATTTTATGTTACTTTCTGTTATCATTATTTTTATTTTGTCAGACTACTGCTGCAAATTTGACACTTTTTATTGGTAAAAAATATAAAACAGTAAATAAACTTAATTGGTTCCATCTCAACAAATACTGCTCAGATTTTCACGGTCCCCAGAGGAACGACCTTTTCTCTGGCGCCACCTTCAGGCAAATATCTGAGTCACATCATTTTTAGTGATTTAAATACACACATTGAAAATGAAGTTACATTTGTTTTCATTTGTTCCTTTCAGAAATGGGGGATTCCACAGAGAGGTGCACCTGATGAGAGTAAAGCGACAGGCCGCTCCCCCGACCGAGACGCTCCCAGGAATCTGGTAACATGACAGACACGTGTTGAATAAAAACCTGATTTTAATAACAGCAACATTAAATCAACAAACAAAGTCAATAAGTAACTACTTTAAATTTATAGTGTGCACGCGTGGATTTAAAATGTACATGAGAGAAACTTTTGAATTGGGGGCGCAGTTTTAAGCAAGATGCAGATTTGGGAAATTAGTAAAAATGTGTCGATTCTTTCCAAGAATAAACTGTTATTCATAGTCATATTGTTTATTCGGTGTAATAAATAAACAAACTTTAAATATTCAAATATGAAACCATATAAAGTAACATCTGTACACGTTTTCCTGCTTCCACTCTTTTTGTTTCACGCTACTTCTTTTTATTTCAATGTATTTTTCTTTTTCTTTATTGAGAATTTTAATATAATTCATGTTACTGTCACTGTTGAGGATGAAGCGACAATAACACAAGAAGAAAGTCAGAAGTTTAAATGAAAAAATAAATCATGAGAATAAAGTCATAAACAGACCCATTATGAAAAAATTTCATTGGTGCATTAAACAGAAAAAAGTCACATTGTTAGAAATTTCAGAAAACTGTTTTATCATGAAAAGAATCATTTTATTAATTACAAGTAAAAAATGTAGTTTGATTTACCCAAGCTAATCATAACATTTTGTAATTATCTTTTTATAGGAAACATAATTTTACTTTTTCTAGTATAATTGTGACATTATTCTGAAAATATCAACAACTTTATCTTGAAAAATTCTGACTTTCTTGTAAAATTATACCTTTATTTTGTAATATTGTTAAATTGCATTTTTTTTTTACGATGTTACAGCTTTTCATCATCACCATTTCATTCTCACCACTCCCTGTTTCCTGAGTTTTTACATGTTTTTATTTTGCTTTCACAGGCGTCCATGTCTTTGTTTCATCACTACGACTCCATTAAGATCCGGGTTGAATAATTAATCACGATGAGTCATGTAAACGTTTGTGTGTGCAGGCGGTTCCCTTCAGAGGTCACGTCACAGGCGGGATGCGGCCGGGGAAGAAGGTCGTAGTGATGGGTGTTGTGGACTCCCGTCCCGACAGGTGACGTCCGTCCTCCTCACCTCAGTTTTAACTCACTTCTTCAGAGAGAGAGAGAGAGAGAGAGAGAGAGATTCTGAATGAAGCGAATTTGAGTCAGAAATCTCACTTCTTCTCAGAGTCATAACTCAGTCAAACCTGAAACACAGACATGAAACACATTGATATCGTTCAGTGTGACTCACACTTCCTGAAAGTGTCTTTATTTCTGAATAAACCTCCATAAACCTGCGTAGAAACCACAGGAAAAAAGACACTTCAGAACTCGCCTGACAATCGTCACTGAGTTTTCTTCAGTGTCACAATAATCCAGAGAGAGTTGTTTGTACGTCCGTGGCTACACTGCAAACAGGAAGTTAATTCAGCATATCTTTAATGGTGCCTGAAGGTTTCATATTTTACGTCCTCCTATGGGTTCCTGTATATATCTGTCAGATGAACAACAACATTTGTGGTTTACTCCATTTTTACACGTCAAAAAAAAGTAAGATATGAGGAGAAACAGAAGGTAAACGTGGCTGTAATTATCTATAAACTCTGAATATGAAATCACTGATCAGTTCAGGTAATGTTGAAATCACTGAAGCTCTCCTACAGAAGCTCATCCAGTCTGAGTGGGGCGTGATATCAATACTTGTTATTGATAAAAGCAGCTAATGCTCTGCCACGTAGAGAACGATGGTGAATACATTATTAATCAGCTGCTGCTGTTATTGATACTTTGGGAACGGATCCTCCCACTAATACTGCCCTAATGCATGATGGTAGTTGGCGCCAGCTGAGTGTTCTGACTGGTTCTTGGTCCCTCTGTTCTTCAGGTTCTACGTCGCCCTGACGTGTGGTCGTGGGACGTCCCGGGAGCCTCCGCCCGACGTGGCTCTGGAGCTCTGCGTCAGGTTCAGGGACCGTCAGGTGCTGCGGAGGGCCTGCGTGTCAGGATCCTGGGGAGACGTCGACAGAGCCGTGCCGTTCTTCCCCTTCATCACAGACCAGCCGTTCAAGGTACCGGAGCCCGTCCGTGACATCACCGTCAGCTGTTGCTGATCAGAGACAAAGGTCAGAGGTCGAGCTGCTGAAAGTGTGTTCAGGTTAAACTGTCACATAGACTTGTTCATCACATCCCAATACTGGAAGCTACAAGAACCAACAGGGCCTCCGTCACCCAGTCCCCACCCACCCTGACAGATTAATATAAAGATAAAGTGTTTAAGACACAGGCTTTGAGAAACAAAATGAAAACAGTGACTTCAGGTTCCAGAGTCTGGATGTGGAGCAGCTGATTAAACCCAGCACTGGTTTATAATTCAAATCATCAGACTGGATGAATTATTACATTATGATCAGAAGAAATTCATCATTTAATAAAAACAGGAAGCACATGATGCTGTAGAAGAAGAATGTGTGGGAGCAGCTCACCGTCAAACAGTCAAATCATCCGGATCAAACGATGATGATGGAACTGATAACAGTGACGTCTGATGTCGGAGCGGAGGAGGGAAGACGTCCAGCAAATCTCAGCTGGTTAACTGACGTTTGGAGACTGGTCTGTTTTCACAAAGCTTGATTCTCCAGTGTTAAAGGCAGCAGCTCAGTGTGGACACTTACCTGCAGGAGGTGAACTAACAGCTCTGCAGGTAACCACCAGTTTGCTGCCAAGACTCTCAGCTAGTAACCAGTCAAATGAAAATCATTTCAGTCTGGATGAATTTGATTGATCACAATAATCGATTGATCACTCAGTGTATAAAATATCAGAGCATTAATCCCTGAAGTTAAAGTTGACGTATTCTACATGTTTTATTGTCGGAGGAGAAATAAACAAATATTCTTATTTAAAAAGGACTTTATTTAACAATTAGTTAATTGGTAAATTGGTGCCAATTAATCTTCTGTCGATCATCTAATCGATACCTCCACT